GTAATCTATATTATATAATAATTATCTTAAAGAATATATATACTAGATCTTTTATATTACTTAACTCTATATATAGAATATAATAAGTATATTTTATTAATTTATTAATAATAACTAGGATACTATTATAGTATACTTCTATTATAGGTTCCTTAGATTTTATTAATTTAATAATAAAGTCTATAGTGATTATTTATTATACTCTTTCTAGTAGTAGTATTAGTTATAGTTCTTTATAAAGTATATATTATACTACTTTAGTTTTATTATAAGTATTATAGTTCTTAATAATCTTCTATACTATTTTTCTACTTTCTAGGAAGTTATATAATCTTCTTAATCTATTAATTATTTTCCCTATACCTAAATATCTATATAATAAGTGTTTATATATTTCTTTAATAAACTACTCTTAAAGTGTACTAAGAATATACTAATGTTTATTAAATAAGTAGTTATTCCTACTCTTAATTATATATAGTTTTATTTCCTAATTATCTAAGTAGCTATCTTTTTTAGTATAAAATATAATATATTATATTTATATATTATTTAACTTAACTTACTAGGTTATACTAATATTTTATATACTTAGTATAAAGTTCCTATTCTTATTAGTTTATAATAAGAGTGTATTATCCACTTATTCTTCTAACTTTAGATCTTCTCTATAGCTAAGTGTATCTACTCTACTATTTTCTAATCCTTTATAATATATAATCTTAAAGTTATAGTCTATAAGGTTTTTATACTATCTAATTTACTATTTATTTAGTTCTTTTATTATTAAAAATAATATAAAGTTCTTATAATTAGTATATACTTTAATCTTATACTTTACTCTAATAAAATAGTGTTTTTATTCTTTAAAGTACTAAATAATAGTTATAAGTTCCTTATTATAAATCCTATAGTTTAACTTAAGTCTATAGAGCTTCTATAAAAAAATATAATTAAGTATAGTCTTCCTTACTTATTTTATTATCCTAATTATCTACTAAGTGCCTAGTTAGAAGTATTAGTCTTAACCTTATAGGGTTTTTCTTAATCTAGTATTCTTATTACTAGTTCTTTTATAATTAAGTCTTTAATATCTTAGAATACTTTAGCTTTAGTTTCTTCTTATTTAAACTTAGTGTCTTTTTTTATTAAGTCTATAAGGGGTTATATTATATTACTATATCCTATTAAAAATTTATAGTAGAAGTTTATAAAAGCTATAAAAGCTATAAATAATAGGACTCCTTTAGGGTTTATTAGTGTAGGCTATTCTTTAATTACTTAGATTTTTTCTAGGCTTATACGTACTTCTCTATATATAAGTACGTATCCTAAGAAGTGTACTATTTATTAATAAAATTAATACTTCTTTCTTTTTACTAGGAGGTGGTTATCTTATAAGGTTTATAGTACTTTATAGACGTATTATCTATACTCTTTAAGTGTATTTAAGTAAATAAGGATATTATCTAAGTATATAACTATAAAAACTCCTAATTATTTTTATAGGATATTATTAATTATAATTTAGAAAGTTATAAGTGTATTAGTAAGTCTAAAAGGCATTATTAAGTATTTATAGTGTCCTCTAGTGGTTTAAAATGTTATTATTTACTCTTAGTCTTCCTTTATTTATATTAAGTTATAAACTCTTTTTAAATTAAGTATTATTACTAAGTATTTAAAATGTCCTCTTATAGTTTAAAAGGTGGTTTTTTACTTATAACTATCCACTATATAGATAAGGTTATAAGCCCCTTTTAGGTTAAGGGTAGTGAACCATTTAGCTTTACTAACTTTATTTTATATTTTAGTAATAAGTAGTAATAGG